TTTTTATGTCTCTCTAGAGGCTAGTCTACCTGCAGAGTGGGTGGTCTCACAGTCCAGTTCTCAAAGTCAATAGTATGTGTGATGCCAGCAAAAGACTGCCTGGAGGCTAGGGGCAAGCAAATGGTGAAAAAAAAAATAGTTGGAATTAATTCTCTCCATATCTCTCACTAGCATTAGGGCACCCCCCCCCCCCACACACACACACACACACTCACTGTGCTAAGAAGTAAGTCCTGTCAGCACTAGGGCTAAGTCTAGCAAATGCTAGCACATGCTTCTTGGACTTCCCAGCCACCAGAATTGTGAGCTAAATGAACTTTTTTTCTTCAAACACATAAAAAGGGGTGTTGTGTAAATTTTATGTCCTTGGGGCAGGAAAGAAATTAGACATACACAGATGCATCAAGAACAATCAATTCCAGAGGGATTAAGCACATCAATTTGAAATAAAACTATAAAAATAGTGGAAAGTAAAGTAGTAAGGACTTAAAGTAAAATAAAGTGTCTGGTCAAGGGCAGGCTGACAAGAAAAGTTGTATAAATTTGGATGTGCCAAAATTAAGAAATCCTTTTCCTTACAACATCATCACAACAGTGAAAATATGTAAAGTGAAAGCTTACTGCAGCCTTGTAATTCACAATGATGAGAACCACATCACCCACAAAAGTTTCACTAGTTATTTCTGAAAGAGATTAGAAAAAGCAGGAAAAATGTAACCAGGTTTTTCACCAAAAAAGTAAAATAGCTAAAGTAAGTAAAAACATGATCATACTATTAGCAATCAGAAGAATGCAAACTAAAACCTAAGGAAGAAATTGTCACAATCAGATTAGAAAAAATGTCCTTCCCTAAAAAGGTTGAACAAGTAAGAGGGAACGAATGTTCTGCACAGGAGTAAGTCAACAGCAGCTTTCATAGGAGAAAAATAACCTACAGTAGGTCGTACCTTGTGGGATCTGTACAATGGTAGTTAAGGCTGACTGAGCCTGTATGTTACCTCATAAAGGTGACTGGGTGACTATGGAGAGGTTCGTACCACAAAAATAAAAGTTTATTGCTCACAGTACCAGAAGACGGGGCCATGTCCTCTAACAATGGGTCCATGGGAGTGATGGTGTCAGGAGGCGGAAGCAGGAGTGAGGAGAAAGCATGGACCATGACCTTTACAGGGGTGTCGACAAGGCAAGGCAAGGCAGGATGAAATGTTTGGGGCTGGCTCATTTGAATAATGCTGGGGGGGTTCAGGGACATGAGACATGTCCCTAGTTGCTCAGTCCCTTGCCCTGGGCTGACACAGGACAGGGAACGTGTTGGCTTGGTGTGCTAGCACTAGGTGAAGGAAGTGCCTGAGCATATGGGCACTGGACGGTTGATGTGCACTGAAGCAGTGTTCCCTAGAAAGTTGTTCACCATCTTTGGGAATCACCTAGCCTGGGGGTGAGAGGTGTCTAGTCCCAACCAGCAAGATTCTCTGGATATCAATGTATTCTAGTATTAAAAAATGAAACAAGATGAATATAATTGGTCCATGAATGGTTTGAGCTCACACTCAAGAACAATGGATTGACAACAGTGATGATTTTGAGACAGAAGGGCATATGTTGTCCAAAACAACACAAAACATTGAGTAAGAAGGAGAAAAACAGGCAGCAGTACACATGGTACATGAAGTCCTGTCTGTAGCCAAGTTTAACATTCTGCCTGGTGTCTTAGTCTGTCTTGTGCAGCTGTAGAGAAATATCTGCAGCTGGGTAATTCACACAGAAGAGATTTACTCTGCTTACAGATCTGCAGGCTGACAAGAAGCATGGCACTGGTACCTGCTCCGTTTCTGCTGGAGGCTTTTATGCTGCATCAAAACAAGGCAGAGCAGGTCAACAGGGAGCAAACACAAGGATGTCTGGCTTAATAACACCCATGCTCACAGAAACAAAGGCATCCCGAAGAACCCAATCTCAAGAGGGCAAAAGCTAACAGCATCCAGCCATTCATGAGGGATCCACCCCATGACCCAAATGCCCCTACCAGGCCCCACCTCCCAAAACCCCCATAAGGGGATCAGAATCAACATGCACTCTGGAGGGGACAAACACGCTATATCCAAACCTAAGCAAGTGGTCTTACTGAAGAAGGCAGTCTGGAAATGTTGGAAGGTCAATAATAATCTCCTGGAGGAGTTGTAAAGGGTATTAAAAGTATGAGGTTGACAGTAGTTAATGGCAGATCTGGAGATGTGTTGTAAGAGGAGGCATTGATAAGTTAGAAAAAAATAAGATTTTGTGAAAAACCGAGGTGAGGGAGTAAGATTAAGATGGTGAGCTGTGGGGTTAGTGAGAAGCAATGGGGAGTCATCGGCCATCACTCATGGAAGGGAGGGGTTGACTGACATGAAGAAGGTGCATCACAGCAAAACAAAACCATAATTTTGTTAACATTTATCAGGATATAAGCTGGGTACACCGGTTTACAGCTGTAATCCCAGCAAGTTGGGAGGTCAAGGAGGATTGCCTGAGCCCAGGGGTTCAAGGCCAGCCTAGGCAACATAGCGAGGCCTTGTCTCTACAAAAAATTCAATAATTAGCCCATCATAACGGTGCACACCTGTAGTCCCAGCTACTTGGGAGGCTAAGGTGGAAGGATCACTTAAGCCCAGGAAGTTGAGGCTGTGATGAGCCGTGATCATGCCACTGCACTCCAGCCTGGGCCACAGAGGTCATTTAAAAAAACAAAAACCAAAAAACCCGGGGCGCTGGGCTTGGTGGCTCAGCCTGTAATCCCAGCAGTTTGGGAGGCCAAGGCAAGTGGATTGCCTGAGTTTGCAGATTTGAGACCAGCCCAGGCAACTTGGCGAGACCTTGTCTCTACAATAAATAAAAAATTAGCCAGGCATGGTAGTGTGCACCTGTATTTCCAGCTATTTGGAAGGCTGAGGCGGAAGTATCACCGGAGCCCAGCAGGTCGACACTGGGGTGGCCGTGAGCATACCACTGCACTCCAGCCTGGGCAACAGAGAGAGACTCTAACTCAAAATACAAACAAACAAAAAACTCTGGGACATCACAGACAGTAGTAACCCATATCAGGTTTTCCTAGGGGTATGGGGTAGGGCACAGTGCTTTGGCTGGGATCATCCCAGGATCATGCATAAACTGACAGCAAGCTTAAATGCACCACAGAACCCCAAGTATCAAAGGAGGAAAAAGGAAAATGCTTGGTGTCAAATTTGTACCACAGAAACACAGACCACAGGTTTTGTTATGATGAAGGCTCTGGAAAATTGGGTGAGGTCATCTCCAGGGATGTGGTCTTGGCTGGGAGATTCTCTACCAGCAGTGAGCCTCTCAGGGCAATGTGTGGGCTGAGGGTCTAAAAAATACTTGTTCATGTCCCTCTGGCTGGAAGCCCAAGCACAAGGATGAGCCAACCTGCAGAGCTGACCTCATCCATGATACACAAGCTCCTGACTCAGGCAACTATGAATGAGTCCCAGTGGAGATGCTGGGCCTACTTCAGACAATCAGGAAGGCATCTGATACTATACAGGAGCTGCTACAACCCACAGAGGCAGCTCAGACTCACCTGGTGTCACTGCCAAAACTGACAGGTGGCCACAGACAGGCTCCATGGCCCCACTCACATCTATGATACCATCCACATCTGCTCCTCTCCACAAACACATGATGCAAAGGTACATAGCTCTCCTCGAACAAGGTTTATTGTGTACCTCAATGTATGTTCCACATTGGGTGGAATACATGCCATGGAAACAGTCATCAGGCAGCTGCAGCCCCGATGGCCATAAATACACAAGACCAGGAGCTGGAGTCAGAAGTACACTTTTCCCCTCTCAGACTGATGCCTGGGTATGCTGCGCTACATGTGTCCAAGGCCCCCATTCAGGATGTGCACATGATGGTATCCAGCACAGTGCAACAGGACTGATTGCATTCTCAGGAGTTTTTTCATTTTCATAGGACATGGACAGAATAACTAACACAGAAGTGGGTCATACTGAGTCCCAACAGTTGCTGGACTCAGGCATTGGATATCATTGCTCTGCCAAGCTGTGGAATGATCCAGAGATCAGAGAGAGCATTCACTGCACTGCCTGCTGTTACTGGAATGCCCACTTCCCTGGGGCAGGGGTCATGGCTTTCCCTTCATGCTCATTAAATCAGGGGATATCAGAGCACTAACTTTGACCTCACCCTTTCTCAACTCTGCTCTTCTTTGCACCCTGACCTATGCAAAAGAATCCGGAGAGAGAGGAACGAAGGCATTTTCTGCAACATTTTAAGTTGCCTTATATCTGCCATGTTGGCTGACACAAGCCCCTGTGACTATGTCTAAGAGCATGACAGACCAACAAGAGGATCGGCACTGCAACAATAGGACTAAGTCTGAGTCTTGAAGCCCACTTCAGCAAGGTTCCAGCTTAGAAGGTGTAGCAAGTAGACTAGAGTGGTGTTACTGTAGGGGAAAAAGCATTACTCCAGGAATGAGAGCAGATTCACCCAGGAAGCCCTATCTCTGTCAGCATTAAATATTTCAAGTTACAGGGAGGCAACGTCAGATGCAGTGCACATTAGATCCTGTACACTGACAAGTTTCTTTTGGTGTGAATCGCCACGATTACTACAGGTTGATGGATGACATAATGTAAAAAAATGACTTTCTACCATTTCTTACCTTCCTAGGGCGTTTCCTCATTGTGAGATCACAAGTAAATATAAAAGTCTTGAGCAGAACTACAACTCTTCCACACATCACATATCAATTGGGTACATCTCCATGGGAGGATCATACACCATCAGTAAGACCTAAGGAAGCATGAGGGCTTTCTGTGCTTCTTACTCTGTGTGGCTCCAGGTAAGGTCTTATTGCAATGAGATTCTGATGGTGTCCACAGTCCTCAAAATCATGGGGCATCTTGAATGTGAATTCACACATGACTGCAAAGTGAACTAGCATAACCAAAAGCTTCCCCACATTGTTTAAATTAGTAAGCTTTCTCATTAGTGTGAATTTGAGTGTGATGATGAAGGCATGAAGAATTCCTAAAGGATTTTCCACATTCCTTGCATTCAAAAAGTTTATTGTCATTGTACGTTATCAAGTGTTCATTTAATAGATAAAATCTATCGTAGGCTTTCCCACATTCCCTACATTCATAGGGTTTCTGTCCAGTGTGGATTCTCATATGTTTACGTAGGTGTGAGGATGCACGGAAGGCTTTTCCACATTCCTTACATGTATATGGCTTCTCTCCAGTGTGAGTTCTTATGTGTTCAGTAAGGTGTGATGATGAAGCGAAAGCTTTTCCACATTCTTTACATCTATAAGGCTTCTCTCCAGTGTGAGTTCGTACATGCACAATAAGATGTGAGGATGTAGTGAAGGCTTTTCCACATTCTTTACATTCATAGGGCTTCTCCCCAGTGTGAGTTCGTATATGTTCAGTTAGGCTTGAAGAAACAGTAAAGGCCTTCCCACACTCCTTACACTCATATGGTTTTATTCCAGTGTGAATGTGAATGTGCTTATTCAGGCACGCGGAATTTCTAAAGGACTTTCTGCATACCATACATTCAAAGGGCTTCTCCTCTGTGTGAGTTTTTAAATGTTCGTTTAGAAGATAAAACCTATTGTAGGCTTTCCCACATTCCTTACATTCATAGGGTTTCTCTCCAGTGTGTGTTCGTTCATGTTTAGTAAGACCTGAGCGGCCAGTGAAGGCTTTCCCACACTGGTTACACTCATAGGGTTTCTCTCCAGTATGAATCCTCACATGTTCAGTTAGGCTTGAAGAAACAGTGAAGGATTTCCCACACTCCTTACACTCATAGGGCTTTTCTCCAGTGTGAGTTCTTATATGTTCAATAAGGCCAGAGGATGTACAGAAAGCTTTCCCACACTCCTTACACTCATAAGGTTTCTCTCCTGTGTGAGTTCGTACATGTCTAGTAAGGCCACACCGCACAGTGAAGGCTTTCCCACAGTACTTACATGTATAGGGTTTTAGTCCAGTGTGAATTCGGACATGATTATTAAGGCATGAGGAATTTTTGAAAGATTTTCCACACACCATACATTCAAAGGGCTTCTCCCTTGTGTGAGTTTTCAAGTGTTCGGTTAGTAGAGAAAACCTATTGTAGGCTTTCCCACATTCCTTACATGCATAGGGCTTCTCTCCAGCGTGTGTTTGTAGGTGTTTAGAAAGGCCTGAGCGCCCAGTGAAGGCTTTCCCGCATTCCTTACATTCATAAGTTTTCATTCCAATATGGATTCTTTCATGTTCAGTTAGGTTGGAAGCAATAGAGAAGGATTTCAAACATTCCTTAAGTTCAAAGGGCTTCCCGACAGTATGGGTTTGCATATGAATTTTAAGGTCAGAAGGAGATCTAAAGACCTGGGGATTCTTTAGAATGGGTATTTCAACAGGCACAACATGGCTTGTGGGGTTAGTAAAAGCTCTCCCATACTGCTTCCACTCATACAGATCTTGCCTGCTATGAGTTCTCATATGTGTCTGCAGATGTGACTGATTAGGGAATGCTTTTGCACTGTCACTGAAGTCAGAGGATGTGCCTTGTGTGCATGTTCTCTGGTCAACAACATCTGGAGTTAGGCTAAAGCCTTTTCCACACCGATTCAACACAGAAAACTGTTCTCCAGTAGAGGTTTCCTTGTACAGAGTAAAAAAGTCTTTTCCATAATGACTGGACACATAAGTGTTCCCTGCACTCTGAGTTCTCACGTGTGTGATAAGATCTGCATGTTCACTGAAGGTTTCTCCACACTGCTTGTGGTCACAGAGTTCCCCTCCACTGTGGCTTTTTGCCTGTTGATGAAGGAACAAAGGCTAATTAAAAATTTTTGAGATGTATTAATAAAATTTCAGAGAGCTGAAGAAACACATGATTAAGATGACTTTTCATTACAAGCACACATTTCCTGCCCAGTAGAAGTTTTTCATATGGAAGGAATAAACCCTACAGAAAGAATCCTGTTTCACCTGCTCTAACCTTAAACAAATTTCTATATATTCTCATATTCCTATTATTCTCATGAAACTGTTATAAAAATCTCAACCTAGTTATGTATGTGGTAATATATACTTGAGAGAATGCAGAAACTAGAGTTACAGTATCCAAAATTCTTTATCTTCAGGGTATCCCTCCAGACATTCCTCCAGACAATGATACTTCACTCCAATATCTCCAATATTTTTGTGGATCTTCTATAATAAAAATCTCAAACGTTTATGAGTATGACAAATAGAAAATCTCTCCTGTTAATCTTACCGTTTGAATCCCATTTGATGGTTTAAACCAAAAAACATCTGGCCAATGCGTTGATCCTCTGGTTTTAAGTCGCCATTCTGAAGTATAAGAGAAAAGATATAAGGGTCTACAGAGCAAAATGGTGGGTAGAATAAGTTAAAAATGATCAAACTCATTGGCATTTGTTTTCATGTTGAACACATGAGAAAAATAAAGGAAAAATAGATTTAAGCAGTTTAACTAAGTCTATAATTTGGCAATCAGACTTGGGTCAAATTAAGCAATTTTCAAAACAACCTTTTCAGGAAAATTAAATATGAAGGTGAATAAAAACAATATTATGAAGAAGGAAAGTAGAAAAGATCTGGATGAAAAGCATACATTAAAACCACATACTCAAAGGAAAAAAAAGCAGATAATTTGTGAACTCACAGGAAAGTCTGGGTCAGACTGAAAAAAAAAAGAAACATGGGAAGCTGAAGATACCTCCAAACTTCTGAGTCCAATGGCGTCACATTCAGTGACAAGGTGCATCTCAAGACATTTCCTCATTGTGCTTCTAACTACACTGAACTTGTCATCAACCAGAGACATTCCTCACACTCACTTACCTTCGAGAACTCTCCCCTGCACTGTCCTCAGTTCTTCCTCTCCCTCCAGACAACATATCACATTGTGGTTGAGCAGGTCACTTCCTAGGCATAGGGAAAGACCCACAAATAAAGAAGGTCGACACAAGAGAGGACAAATCAACTGTGAAACAGGAGCTACATGTCTAAAGAAAGCAGTGACATCACTTCAAAATAGCCCAAAATGTATATAACTGGCGGGGCTCAGTGGCTCAGCCTGTAATCCCAGCACTTTGGAAGGCTGAGGCGAGAGGACTGCCTGAGCCTGCAGATTCAAGACCTGTCCAGGCAACTTGGTGAGACCTCGTCTCTACAACATATTAAAAATTAGCCAGGTGTGGTACTGTACACCTGTAGTTCCAGCTACTTGGAAGGCTGAAGAGGAAAGATTGCCTAAGCCCAGGAGTTCGAGGCTGTAGCTAGTCATGATCGTGCCACTGCACTCCAACCTGGGCAACAAAATGAGACTCCAACTCAAAAAAAAAATAAACGAAAAAACAAAAAAACAAAATGAAAACACCCCATTCTTTTGTGTCCCCAAGAGACTGGCCATCTCTGACCCCTGAAACCTGACATTCAGGCATCAACACACGTAAAAACCACTAAGCTTTTACTGAGATAGGAGTGAAGAGTGGTCCTCATATACTTGGGAAACTACTTCCCAATGATTCTCAGCAGAGTGAGTCAGAGTCATCTAGAGGGCTTGTTAAAACACAGAAGACAGGCCCCACAGCAGACTGTGACAAGTATGTCACAAGTGAAGTGAAAAGAACCATACTAGAAGAAAGCCTATCAGTGCAGTGACCATGTCTGTCATTTTCCACTACGTCCTGATCTGTCACCATCAATCCTGGAACATAGTAAGTACATCAAACATTCCAGATGGTTACAAAGAGAGGAGGCAGTCTTCCTCACCTATGGAAGCCAGGTTCTCACAGGTCTCCAGCATCACATCTCTGTACAGGTCTCTCTGAGCTGAGTCCAGTAAAGTCCACTCCTCCTGGGTGAAATCAACAGCCACATCTTCAAAGCTCACAGAGTCCTGCAACATCACACACACGTGGTTTGGGCCACGGAAGTCATCTGTCAGTGTTCACTGGAGCATGAGGAGGTTGGGCGTACAGCTACATGGGACTTAAGAGGCCTCAATGTCCACCCCACGGCCCAAAGGACCTAGGAGTGCTCCTCTGTCCACATTCACTCACTGTTGATCTCAGTCATGTGGCTCTAACAACATCTCTGACACAGGAACGTACCTCCCCACAACTAGATGGGGAGCTCTCACACCTCATTTCCCTCCACTGTAGCACAATCCTGAGCACATTATACACATGATAAAGGGTGATGACAAAGAACTTCCTGGAGGAAAGGACTCTTCTCCTTACCGTGTGCCACAGCAAAATAAGAAGCATGCATTTGGCACTATGAGGTCAAATTAATAATGCTGAAACACTGCGATGAATATAAAGGTGACCCCTAACCAACTAGGCTCTGCTCCCTGGGTGATTCAACTAGGGACTCAGTCCTTGAAGGAAGCTTCATTTGCTCAAGAAGCTGTGGAGACAAGTCTGACTAGATGGAAATGTGTCTATCTAGTGGACACAGGGATGTCATTTTTAGAAAAACACACTCTTGTGGGAGGGGCACATCTCATCAACAAGGGTACCTGCATAATGAACATTTGTATACCTAACCCTGAACTGTACCCAATATCTTTAAAATAAAAATTGTCAAGTTAAAAAAAAAAAAACACACTCTTGGTATACCTGGTAGCAATTGATCAGACAGCCAGCCACCATCCTTGCTGCCTCTGTCTGTTCTTCACAATGGCTGACTGGGTCCCTGTAAACATAACCTGCTGGAAAAGACAGAAGGCGCCTGAACCCTCAGCTGAACAAATTCACACACTCTGTGCCTGGAAGTTATTGCATCCTAATAGGAAATCCCAGGTATTCCCGCATACTCAACAGCAGGCACGTGTACACACAAGTGCCATCCAGCGCCAAAGCAGTCTGTCTTACATGGTGAGCTATGCTACCCCTTGGGAAATAGCAATAGTCTCACATGAGCATAAGAAGTCTCAAGACCCATGAAATGCAGCTTGACTTGCCGTGGTGATAACTCATGAAGGAGATGAGGCATCCCCTCTTCTAAAGCACATACTCCAGGGCTGACCTGCAAACCCGAGTGCTCCAGCACATTCCAGGATCTCCACAATAAACAGAAGCAGGACTGCTCAGGCCCAACCCAGGACTCTAGCTGTGTGGGGACCTACCCAGAGTCCCTGCAGAAGTACACACCAAGGACTCACCATGGGACATGTCGACGGCTGCCATCTGGGAGGCTGGTGGTATGTCTGAACACGCCTCTCCTCAATGCCACCACCACACGAGGGTGGCTCATGAGTCTACACGGATGATGCACTCTCCATCCCTCTGGGCTAGGATATCTGGAGACACATTCACATCCATCACAACCAGGAAGCATTACCCATCAGTCAACAAACTTCCTGCACTTGCTCTCATCAAATGATGCGTGAGAAAGCCACTAAGAACAGTTTACTCCATGAGTATTCTAATACCCACTGTCAATTACTGAGGAGCAGTATGAGCCAGAAGCCTCAGCTGAACCTTAGAAAGACTAGTTCACTTAACACATTTATGACTGACAAATTTTTCACTTTCCTAATACTGAGAGTAGGTGAAACTTAAAATCTAAAGCTGGTTACTGTAAACTTCTGTCATTATGCACAAGTGAAATGGTCTTTTCTAAATTGTCACCTTTTCCACAATATAGCTAAAGCTGCAAATATATCTAGTATTTGCCTCAGGCACCACTCTGACTAGCATTCTGTACTTTGTATTTTTATTCGGATTATAAATCTGAAAAGACAGTCTTCCACGACGAGGTAAATTCATGTCAGCGGCCAACAGGACCAGAATTTAGAATAACATGAATTCACAATAGTGGTCATGAAAGAGTTTATTATAAGAACAGCCCTCACTATAGATACCACCCCTACTTAATAGCTAAGAAAGAAAACCCTGATTCAGATAACACTAACTGGTCTCCTATCATCCCCGGGAAGTGGTGAAGCAAGAATGGTATACAGATTAAGCTGTCTCATAAGCCTGAACTTCTGAGTTCGTAATTATCCCCAGCATGACCAAAAGGAGGTCTAGAACTTCACCGTTCTCATTCCACCAACCAGGTGACTAAAATTCAGAAATTTTACAGCATCACAAAAATATCTATAGTCCTAGAAGAAACTATATTTACTACTAGGTGTCTCTCACTGGGGGAGTTCTTGTACTGAGAAGCTCAAATGTGTTTTGTTTGGTGGCACAGGCTCTCTTCCCTTATTTAAAGAGCTGCTACTAATATATAATGAATCATCATCTTCTCCGCTATGACACAGTGCCAAAGGACTTGACACTCCATCACTGCTACAATGTTGACATGACAGTTGGCTGGATCCAACGAGCAGGAAACAGAAAATACACACATATTTTTTTTGAGTTGGAATCTCACTCCATCGCCCAGACTGGAGTGCAGTGGCATGCTCCTGGCCACCGCAGCCTCGACCTGCTGGGCTCTGGCAATCCTTCCGCCTCAGCCTTCCAAGTAGCTGGAACTACAGGCGCATGCTACCACGGCCGGTTAATTTTTTATTTATTGTAGAGATGAGGTCTCACCAAGTTGCCTGGGCAGGTCTCGAACCCGCGGGCTCAGGCAATCCACTCACCTTGGCCTCCCAAAGCACTAGGATTACAGGCTAAGCCACCAAGCCCAGCCAGAAATATTTTTGATACATTTTAAGAAACATGCAAAAGACAGGGTGGAGATTCGAGGGCCACTGTTTCTGCGGGTTCGGTGGTCTAGATCACGTAAAGACAAGCCCTCGTACACACACCTCCAAGTTACTGTGTCTGACACCACCTACCAACAAAAAAGAGGCACAACACTCTGTAATCTTTTGATTTTAGAGGTAACACACACATCTGTGTTGTGTCTAATACTCTCTCAGTTGCCTGCAAGCTTTCTGCTTAGAGAGTGGGACACAGCAAGTTCAGGCTGCAAGAGACACTTCTCAAGTGCTTGGCCCAAGAGACCCAGAAGACCCAGAGACACTCAAAGCATCTTTGGAGCCTTTGCCAAGCACCAACAGGAATTCAGAGCACAGCCATCTGGCATTTTCAAGTGAATCTATGCCCTCTTCTGCAGGTTACTGCTTTTCTGTTCAGAAACAGCTTGCCACCAGTACACAGCAGAGAATGAACAAATGACCCCAGAACATGAAGTGCTCTAAGGCAGAACTGAGGAATTCGAGGCTTTATGCCCCCAAATCCAGAAGGCACTTACTGCTGGCCCTTGGCCAACCTCTCCTCTGGAACGGTGGGTTTACAAGTTCATAGGAAATAGCCAGAAATGGAAGAAGGGTTCTGAAAGGAGGGAAGCCTTGAAGTGCAGAGTATAGTTAGTTTAATGTAGCCATTTTAAAGCAGCACAACCATTTTGCTTAGGCCTCACCCTTTGAAATTCCCTTGCTGCACACCTTGCGTGGCCCACTTGTCCTTTTGTCCTATAATCATTAATATGAAAAATGCCTTAGTTTTAGAATCTAGTAATTATACAGAATGCTCTGAGCATGTCCAGCTTGCTAACAATTTATCTGATAGGCATTCATATTGATACTCTGTTATCAACCGCTGTGAGGACCTCCAGCACACCACCGGAGGCCTGTTTACCTTATATTGTTATCGCCCAAAGATGACTACCCCAGCCCACCACCTGAGGACAGGGAACGCTGATGCCTGATGATGTCAAGATACTGGATTCAGTGAGTGCTAATAGGAACTGGAGAATGCAACTGTGGACGTTCCTTTTGGCCCAGACTCCCTCCAGGTCTAAGCCCCTTGGCTTTAGGGGCTTGCTTTAGAGCCCTTAAATTCTCCTAGCCTTTAGCCTGCCACGCGACATTTGCCTTGGAGTGTCGGGCCCCTTTCCATCTGTGAAAGGTGAATAATAAGTTTACCCTCTCAGTTTCAAAACACCGTGAAAACACGGTAAGAAACACCTGACCGGTGACTTTCTAGAATGATTCTTCCAAGTCAGCGTGATGGAGAAACGACAGGGATGCGCTAGGTGAAAAGACGCCGACAGACACAAACGTGGGCACGGACAAACCTTAACGATCGCTGGTCCAAAGGCACCCGGGCCACGTCGGAACCTTGAGCGGAGTTCCGGCCGTTGCGTGGGGCGGTCGCCGACGACACGATCTTCCTTTCTCAGTGAACAGCAGCACCGCGGCCGCGGCGCGACGACGTCCTCACCCCGGGA